GGTCTCTTGCGATACAGTGGCGACTAATTGTTATCAGGACTGTAAGGGCTGGAAGGTAGATATTTTGGGGAAAAGGGAAGGGAATGATTAACTTTGCTGTCTGGGAGTGGAGGTCCCTGGGACCATCAAAGGAGAAGAGCGGAAACAGAACCCTACCCAGAGAAGCAGTGATGCCAGGGATGAAGGCAGAGGCGATGACGTGGGGAGATGGAGCGGCTGGAGATTTTGGACCCAGAGAAAGAAGGGTGGCATGTAGATGACTGGGGGGCAGGCTTGCGGGGTATACCCTTTGGTTAATGGATGATGCAGGGGAGGGATTGTAATCATGGCAAGGAAACAATATATGATGGGATCAATGTGAAGTTGATGTCTTCTCATGTAAACTATCACAGAATTCATAATAAAGCATTAAAAATTAAAAATAAAAGTGTTAAGATGGAGAAAATTGGACCCAGATGCACGGTTATTGCTAGGTGTTGTTGAGTTGGTTCCAACTCATAGCAACTCTCTGTTCAACAGAACTAAACTACAGTCAGCACTGCATCATCCTCACAACTGTCCATCTATTTGAGTCCATTTTTGCAGCTGATGGGTCAATCCACCTGACTGAAAAGATGAGATGCAAAATAGATGGACCTTTTAGACCATTTGGGCAGAAGGCTGTAGGCAGATGGGGTCTGTGGATGTCAAGCAGTGGCAGGGAAGTCAAGAGAAATGTCAGCAAGCAAGAAAATTTAGCAACAAAAATACAGTAATTCTGAATGCAGGGTCTGGAGCAAAAGGGAGACCACTGTCACCAGCGATCCTGGTGTGGCACTGTAGGAAAAGCATTGGACTATCAACTACAAGGTCAGCAGTTCAAACTCCCCAGTTTCTCCTCAGAAACATTATACAGGGTCACTAGGAGTCGGAACCAACTTGATGCCACAGGGTTTCCAAGGCTATAAATCTTTACGGGAGCAGAAAGCCTTATATTTCTCCTGTGGAACAGCTGGTAGTTTCCAAATGCTGCCCTTGTGGTTCACAGCCTGATTCGTAACCACTATACTACTGGAGCTCCTTAATTATCATACACACTGCCTTTCTCAGTAACAATTACTTCTATATTTGCTTCTTCTTGCTGTTGTTAAGTATCATCATGTTAAGTATATAGCTTAACTCACATAGTGACCCTATAGAGGGTTTCTGAGGAGTGACAGATGAATTGGAACCACCAACCTTTTGGGTAGCAATTCACTGCTTATCCTACAGTGCTACACCAGGCCATAAACTTTTTGTTTGTTTGTTTAGGAAGCACTTTATTGATGCTCTAAGTTTAAGAATTTA